ATATATGTATATGTGTATATACATATATAGACATATATACACATATACATATACATATTGTTTGTTTGTTTGTTTTTGTTTTTGAGATGGAGCTTTGCTCTTGTTGCCCAGGCTGGATGCAATGGCACGATCTCAGCCTACCACAACCTCTGCCTCCCAGGTTCAAATGATTCTCCTGCCTCAGCCTCCCAAGTAGCTGGGATTACAGGCATGTGCCACCACAGTCAGCTAATTCTGTATTTTTAGTAGAGACAGGGTTTCACTATGTTGGTCAGGCTAGCGAACTCCTGACCTCAGGTGACCTCCGCCCACCTTGGCATCCCAAGTTCTGGAATTACAGGTGTGAGCTACTGAACCTGGTCCCCAAATTTATTTAAAATAAAATAAAATAAGTGCTGTATGTCTTCCGCATATATGGGGCTAAATTACAGAGCTTAATACAATCTAACAAATATAAGCAATGTGCATACAGTATGGTAGATCATTTATTTCTAAGCTTAGGTGTGTACACATGCGCGCGCGCACACACACACACACACACACACACAAAGGGTGTGACCAAAGAAGCTCTTTGAGATAAATTTCCGGCCAGGTGCAATCACTCATGCCTGTAATCCCAACACTTTGGGATGCTGTTGTGGGTGGATCACGAGGTCAAGAGTTCGAGACCAGCCTGGCCAAGATGGTGAAACCCCATCTCTACTAAAAACACAAAAATTAGCCAGGCATGGTGGCAGGTGCCTCTAATCCCAGCTACTCGGGAGGCTGAGGCAGGAGAATTGCTTGAACCCGGGAGGCAGAGGTTGCAGTGAGCCAAGATCATGCCACTGCACTCCAGCCTGGGCAACAGAGCGAGACCCCATCTCAAAAAAAAAAAAAAAACCAACTTTCAATGATATCTCAAATAAATCATTTATATATTTTATCATGATTTTTTTTTTAAGAGACAGGGTCTCACTATGTTGCCCAGGCTGGTCTCAAACTCCTGGCCTCAAGCCAACCTCCCACTTCAGCCTCCCTAGTCCCTGGGATTACAAGGGTGAAGCACCACACCCAGCATTTATCACATATCTTTCTATAGAAGAGTTGTCTGGTAATATAGCATTTTTCTAGACTGAAACTTGTTGTTCACACTTGTTTTAATTCCCTTCTACAATGAATGTTTAAAATATAATTTTGAAATCATGTTTTGTCATATATGTTGCAGACTTTTCAAAGAATAAATTAAATGCTAAAAATATTTTTTTAATGTAGTCCTTAAAAGTCATGATCCTTTTGACCATACCTATTCTAAAAATAAATAAATAAAATATACATAAAAACAATTTAATAAAAGAGAAAAAAGTCATGATCTTAAATAATTCCAGTAACTTTTTTCCAGAGTATAACTTGAGACTTAAATCACTTCTATCAATTTCTTACCTTCTACATACAATTCTAGTTGACAGAATGCTGTTCCACGTCGTATATGTGCCTTCATTCTTGCATTAGCATTGTCTGTAACAGGTGGCATCAATAATTCCAGTGCCTTACAAAATATATATACAATTATTAAGAGAAAGACATCATTTCTTAATTTAAACAAGTAAAGTCAGGCACGGTGGATACACCTGTAATCCCAGCACTTTGGGAGGCTGAGGTGGGTGGATCACTTGAGAGTCAGGAGTTCGAGACCAGCCTGGCCAACATGGCAAAACCCTGTCTCTACTAAAAATACAAAAATTAGCTAGACATGGTGGTGCACACCTGTAATCCCAGCTACTCAGGATACTGAGGCAAGAGAATCACCTGAATCTGGGAGGCAGAGGTTGCAGTGAGCCTCCAAGATCATGCCACTGCACTCCAGCCTGGTGACAGAATGAGACTTCATCTCAAAAAAAAAAAAAGGGCCCCAAGCCCTCACCTAAATTGCCTTAGCTGGTACAGAAATTTACCAAATATATACATATATAGATATTAGCTCAATGCAACCTCCACCTCCCAGGTTCAAGCAATCCTCCTGCCTCAGCCCCCCTAGTAGCTGGGATTATAGGCATACACCATGATGCCCGGCTAATTTTTGTATTTTTAGTAGAGATGGGGTTTCACCATATTGGCCAGGCTGGTTTGGAACTCCTGACCTCAGGTAATCCACCCACCTCAGCCTCTCAAAGTGTTGGGATTACAGGCGTAAGCCATGGCACCCAGCCACATATATATTATTATTGTCTATATATAAATAAACTAACAACTTAAACTAATTGTGACATAAATGGTAGACTTTTATATTTAATATATAAAATATATATTAAACATATAAATATATTTTTATACACATAAATTATATTTATAAATGTATATTTATATATTTAAAAATACATTTAATATATAAATATTCATATCTGTGTATTTATATACATATTTCTATATTAAATATGTATATAAATATACATATTTATGTTTATATACATAAATATATAATATATAAATATATAAATGTTTATAAATATATATTATAGTATGTATTTATATACATAAATATATATTTATGTATACATTATATATTATATACATGTATATTATATATGTATATTATATACATATATATTTTGAAATATAAAATATATTTACAAATATATTTTTACTAGTAGGAATTATTAAATAGCATTTGTGGGGCTTCTGTATTCAGATTGAGTGATTCAGTTTATTCATACATTCATAAATATTTGTTTGCATTGTGAGAGTCAAAGAAGAACTAGATCATAAAAATGTTATGATATCAAAGTATGAGGACTTGTTGTGTACTCCATATCCTCAATCTCAAGGAGCTACCTAAGAGATTCTGCACATGATATTCCCTTAAAACAAGTTATCTTGACATGGAAAAAGAAAAAGCAGTAGAAGTGCAAGACATTCACATGAAATATTAGTAATGGAAGGTAGAATATACTAAGTTACCCTGTAAATAGGAAAATGATTATAGATATCTGGGCTGGGCATGGTAATCACACCTGTAATCCCAGCCCTTTGGGAAGCCAAGGCAGAATGATTACTTGAGTCCAGGAGCTTGGGGTTGCAGTGAGCCACTGCACTCTACCCTGGGTGACAGGCTGTCTCTTAAAAATTAAAAATTGAGGGCTGGGCATGGTGGCTCACGCCTGTAATTCCAACACTTTGGGAGGCTGAGGCAAGTGGATCATTTGAGATAAGGAGTTTGAGACCAGCCTGGCCAATATGGTGAAGCCTTGTCTCTACTAAAAATACAAAAATTAGCTGGGCATGGTGGTGGGCGCCTGTAATCCCAGCTACTTGGAGGCTGAGGCATGAGAATCACTTGAGCCCAGGAAACCAAGTTTGCAGTGAGCCAAGATTGTGCCACTGCATTCCAGCCAGGGTGAAAGAGTGAGATCTGTCACCAAAAAAAAAAAAACCCTTAAAAAATTTGGCCAGTTGTGGTAGGAAGCACCTGTAATCCCAGCTACTCGGGAGGCTGACGCAGAAGGATCTCCTGAACCTGGGAGGAGGATATTGCAGTAAGTGGAGATCACGTCACTGCACTCCAGCCTGGGTGACAGAGTGAGACATCATCTCAAAAAAAACTTTTAAAATTTCTTTAAAAAAGAAATATTCTCTTACTGCACATGTGGTAGAGATAACAAGTGAATACAAAGTGTTCTTCCTTCTACCTTGCATTGAGTCTGCAAAACTTTTTTTTTTTTTTGAGAAAGAGTCTTGCTCTATCACCTAGGCTAGGGTGCAATGGCATGATCTCAGTTCACTGCAACCTCCACCTTTTGGGTTCAAGCAGTTCTCCTGCCTCAACCTCCCACGTAGCTGGGACTACAGGTGGCCACCACCACAACTAGCTAATTTTTGTATTTTTAATAGAGACAGGTTTTCATCATGACCTCAGGTGATCTGTTCACCTTGGCCTCCCAAAGTGCTGAGATTATAGGTGTTAGCCACAGCACCTGGCCGAGTCTGCAAAACTTTAATAAGAAAAAAGGTGGGCTGGATGCAGTGGCTCACACCTGTAATCCCAGTGCTTTGCAAAGCTAAGACGGAGGATTGCTTGAGCTCAGGAATTCGAGACCAGCCTGAGCAACATGGCCAAATCCCATCTCTATAAAAAATACAAAAATTAGCTAGGTGTGGTGATGCATGCCTGTAGTTCCAGCTACTTGGGAGGCTAAGGTGGGATGATCACTTGAGATTGGGAGGTCGAGGCTGCAGTGAGCTGTGATCACACCTCTGTAATCCATCCTAGGTGACAGAGTGAGATTCTGTTTCCCCTCCAAAAAAAAAAAAAGGAGGAGGAGGAAGAAAGGAAGAGAGAGAAAGAGGGAGGGAGGGAGAAAGAAAGGAAGGAAGGGAAGGGGAAGGTAGGAGAAGGGAGGAGAGGGGAGGGGAAGGGAGGGAGAGGAGAAGAAAGACAAGCTTGCGGGTTGCAGTGAGCCACTGCACTCTAGCCTGGGTGACAGGACCCTGTCTTAAAAATTAAAAATTGAAGCTCAATTTTTTTTTTTGGGAGAGGCAAGTGGATTTGAGATAAGGAGTTTGAGACCACCTGGCCAATATGTGGTCTCTACTAAAATAATTAGCTGGGCAGCCTGTAATCCCAGCTATGAGGCATGGAATCACTTGAAGGAAACCAAGTTTGCAGTGAGAAGATTGTGCCAATTCCAAGGGTGAAAAGAGTGAGATCTGTCACCAAAAAAAAAAAACCCTTAAAAAATTTGGCCAGCACCTGTAATCCCAGCTATCCTGACGCATCTCCTGAACCTATTGCAGTAAGTTCACGTCACTGCACTCCAGCCTGGGTGACGAGTGATAACATCATCTCAAAAAAACTTTTAAATTTCTTTAAAAAAGAAATATTCTCTTACTGCACATGTGGTAGAGATAACAAGTGAATACAAATCTACCTTGCATTAGAGGAAGGAAAGGAGAAAGGAAGGGAGAGAGGGAGGGGAGAAGAAAAAAAGAGGAAGGAAAAAAGAGGGAGGGAGGGAGGGAAGGAGGAAGGAAGGAAGAAAAAATAAAAGAAAATGGGTAAGGAAAGAGGAAAGAAAAGGAAAGGGCACAACTGACCACCATTTACTAATTTCCAGCAGGGTACAGTGGTTCACACCTATAATTCTAGCACTTTGAGAGACCAAGATTGTAGCATCCCTTGAAATCAGGAGTTCGGGCCGGGCGCTGTGGCTCACGCCTGTAATCCCAGCACTTTGGGAGGCCGAGGCGGGTGGATCACCTGAGGTCAGGAGTTCGAGACCAACCTGAGAAATATAGGGAGACCTTGTCTCTACAAAAAACAAAAACAAACGAAACAAAACAAAAACTTAGCTAGGTGTGGTGGTGTGTGCCTGTAATCCCAGCTACTTGAGAGGCTGAGGTGGGGAGGATAGCTTGAGATTGGGAGGTCAAAGCTGCGGCAGTGAGCTGTCATCTTACCACTGCATTCCAGCCTGGGTGACAGAGCAAGACCCTGTCTTAAAAAAAAAATACATTTATTAATTTCCTTGTGAACTTCAAGTGATACATCAGGGCAATACCGTAACAGCTGATTTTTTTTTTTTTTTTTTTTAAGAGATGGGGTTTCTCCATGTTGGCCAGACTGGTCTCAAACTCCTGACTTTAGGTGATCAACCCACCTCGGCCTCCCAAGCTGCTGGGATTACAGGTGTGAGCCACCACACCTGGCAAAAGCTGATTTTTAATCTAACTATTCATAGACGTCACAACAAATGCCAGTTCCTTGTCCATTAGTAAAAAATCAGTTAAAAAAAAGTTTTAATAAGAAAGACAATTTAAAAAATCTTCATATCTCAATTATTTCAATTGAACAGAAAAAGATCATCATTTAAACCAATTAATAGAAGGATATACATATAAGAAAGAGATATCCATACCTTAGAAGAATCTTCAATAGCCTTGTGTAAGTTTTTTAGTTTTAGGTGGCAGGCAGCCCGGTTCAAATACAATAGTGGAATCTTATTGTTTAGTCTTATGGCTAAGTTATATGCATTAATAGCTGCCAAATAGTTTTCTGTTGCAAACAATTTGCTAATGAGACAAAACAGAAAAGAAAAACAATTTAACATGGAAACAGAAAAACGAAATAATATCTAATTGTATTTCACAAAGAGGATGGCTTACCTCTTTTTGCATACTCTGTAGGGTAAACATGGTTGACTGTACTGAATCCATCTCTCTTTCACATCCACCAGCCTACCATTTGAATGGGACGGACCTCACTCCCATTTCCAAGGGTAGACATTAGTAATTTAAGCCAGTAGGCATATTTTCATTCTTTTTGCTACAGTAATTGACTTGGGGATGGGCTTGTGTGACCTATATTGTTCTATTTACTTTTTTTTTTTTTCAATTTTTTTTTTTTTGAGATGGAGTTTTGCTCTGTCACCAAGCTGGAGTGCAGTGGCATAATCTCGGCTCACTGCAACCTCCACATACCCAGGTTCCAGTGTTTCTCCTGCCTCAGGCTCCCAAGTAGCTAGGACTACAGGAGTATGTCACCATGCCCAGCTAATTTTTGTACATTTTGTAGAGATGGGTTTCACCATGTTGGCCAGGATGGTCCTGATCTCTTGACCTTGTGATCTGCCTGCCTGGGTCTCCCAGAATGCTGGGATTATAGGCATGAGCCACCGCACAGGGCCTAATGTTCTATTTAGAATGAAACCTGTGGGTTGGTTTCAAAGTTGGAGAATAAAAAGTTAGGCAAACTTCTCCCCCTGCTGGATATAAATGAAGAAGTCATATAGCCCAAATTGTTACTGACTATTTTTAACAGGGAAGAGATGGCATTAGAGTAAAGCTGATACTATGGGAATATGAAAGGAATCAAAAGGCAGAAAGAAACTGAGCCCTTTACAATACAGCTAAGCTGCTGGATCAAGCTTTACCTGAAATGCAAAACACCTTTAGCTTTTTAGTTTTATAAGACAATAAATTCCTTTCAATATAAAGCCAGTTTGAACTGGGTTTTTGGTTACTTGCAATGGATATACACTTTCAGTTCAAATGTTCCAAAATTCTCTTCAAATAAAGAGATGCATACAATTAAAGGATTTCTTCAAAATGCAAAGTTTCTTTTTTTTATGTATAATTTCCACATACAAAAATTTGAAAAAGTACATAAACAGGAAAACAGAAAATACTTTGCTAAAAAGAAAAATGTCATATAAATATAACTCGTATTCATGTTCATTCCATTTTACTGCATACTTTGCTGCTCTGGAATATTAAACATGTCAAAAGTAAACCTATAAAAGTACCCAGTAAACTGAGTAAAAGGTAAGAAGACACCACTGTCACACCTAATTTGAGCTAAACTCAAGCTGAAAATAACGTGTACAAACTAGAAAAGCGAATTCCATGTGTACAGTTTACATTTCTGAAATGCCTTGTATTAGCAATGCTTCTGAATGCAAGTAACGGAACCACAGCTCAACTGGGCTTAAACAAGTAAGGAAATTAATCATCTCACTTTTTTTGTTTTGTTTTGTTTGAGACAGAGTTTCTCGCTCTGTCGCCCAGGCTACAGAGTGCAGTGGCTCAGTCTTGGTTCACCATGTTGGCCAGGCTGGTCTCGAACTCCTGACCTCCTGATCCGCCTGTCTCAGCCTCCCAAAGTGCTGGGATGACAGGTATGAACCATTGCACCCAGCCTATCTCACATTTTAAAAGTCCATGGGATTAAGGACCTTATAAAGAAGATCAAAAAATAAAAATAAGAAGTCCAGAGGAAAGAAACTCCAAGCCCAATTAGTAGCTCAAAGATGTTATCAAGGTCACAGGCTCCTTCCATCTGTCCATTCTACTGTACTCAGCAGAAACCATAATTGGGCTGGTTATCCTCATAGACATATTAGCTCAAGGTGCCACATACAGGCATAATACTCATTGGAAGAAAAGGTAACAATATCTTCTGGTATACGTTTCCTAACAGAAAGAAAATCATTCCCAGAAAACTCCTAGTTTACCTCTTTTCACATCTCATTGACCAAAAGTACATACCCTTAAAACAAAAATAAAAACCTGTCTTTCTCTTCCTCAAACTCTCTTTTTCTACTTTCTCTCTCTCTCTCCCTCAGACTCTCTTTTCCTTTATCCTTGCCTCCCTCCCTGCCTCCCCCTGTCCCCCACCGCCATCTCTTTCTCTCTCCTCTTACCCCCACTTCCCCAATTTTACTATTCATACTATTACTACTGTGTACTGCTGTTTAGAATGCTTTTAAAAATTCAAAAACATGACCATCTTTCCATGTTAGAAAATGGAGAAATACATTTTTACAGAGTGTATATTAATACACAGATTGTTCTTACAGTATTTTCTCATAAGCACTAGGATTTTTGAAACCAATTTCCTCCTACTTGGGTACATTTAGGGGTCTTCTTTTCCAATACTTTTTTTTTATGAAGAAGATTATAATAAATATTTTTGTGCCTATATCTTTTTTTTTAAAAGCAGGAATGCAACTAAAGCAATCATGATCTGTTGAAGTCAATGAGAATTTATCACTTAGAATAGGGTCACCATCCTAAGTCACACAGGCAAGGTCTGCACACATAAACAAAATATGGGCTCAGCCAATAAGGATAAAGGGAGAGAACAAATATTGGCTAGGTAACCTGCAGTGTCTACAACAAAACTTTTTTTTTTTTTTTTTTTTGAGATGGAGTCTTGAACTATCACCCAAGCTGGAGAATATTGGTGCAATCGCGGCTCACTGCAACCTCTGCCTCCCAGGTTCAAGCGATTCTCCTGCCTCAGCCTCCGGAGTAGCTGAGATTACACAGCCACCATGTCCGGCTAAATTTTGTATTTTGAGTAGATTCAGGGTTTCACTATGTTGATCAGGCTGGTCTTGAACTCCTGACCTTGTGATCCACCAGCCTTGGCCTCCCAAAGTGCTGGGATTATATACAGGCTTGAGCCACAATGCCTGGCCTTTTATTTTTTAAACTGTAGTAAAATATATATAACAAAATTTACCACTTTATACATTTTAAAATGTAAAATTCAGCGGCATTAACTACATTTACATTGTACAACCATCACCACCACCCATGTTTATAACTTTTTCATCTTCTCAGATTGAGACTTCATGCCCATTAGAGAGCAACTCTCCGATCCTCCTCCTCTCTAGTCGTTCACAACCACCATTTGACTTTCTGTCTCTGTCAGTCTGACCACTCTAAGTACCTCACATAAGTGAAATCATATATTTGTCCTTTTGTGACTGGCCTATTTCATTTAATATAATGTCTTCAAGGTTCATCCATGTTGTAGCATGTGACAGGATTTCCTCCCTTAAGGCTGAAATAACACTGCATTGTAATGGATATGACACATTTTATTGATCTATTTATCCCTCAGTGGACACTTGGGTTGCTTATATGTTTTGGATATTTTGAGTGTTATTGCTATGAACCTGGGTGTACAACTATCTGTTTGTGTTCCTGCTTTTAATTCTTTTGGGTATACACCCAGAAGTGGAATTACTAGATGATATAACAATTCTATTTTTGGCCATGTGTGGTGGCTCCTACCTATAATCCCAGCACTTTGGGAGGCCAAGGTGGACAGATTGCTTGAGCTCCTGAGTTTGAGACCAGACTGGGTAACATAGCAAAACTCTGTCCCTACAAAAATGACAAAAATTAGCTGGTCCCATCTACTTGGAAGGCTTAGGTGGGAGGATGGCTTAAGCCCGGGAGGTAGAGGTTGCAGTGAGCCAAGATCACATCACTGCACTCAAGTATGGGCTATAGAGCCAGACCTTATCTCAAAAAAAGAAAAAAATTCTATTTTTACTTTTTTGAGGAACAATACTGTTTTCCATAGCAGCTGTATCATTTTGTACCTCTACCAACAATGCACAGGATTCTAATTTCTCCACGTCCTCACTAACACTTGTTATTTTCTGTTGTTTTTTTTTTTTTTTCCTGAGTAGTCATTCTAAAGGGTGGGAAGTGGCATCTCATAGTGGTTTTGACAGGCATTTCCCAAATAGTTAGCAATACTAAACATTTTTTCATACTAGCCATTTGTCTTCTTTGGAGAAATGCCTATTTAGGTTCTTTGGTCATTTTTATTTTTAAAAAAATTATTATTATATTTCTGAGCAGAGTCTTGATCCGTTGCCCAGGCTGGAGTTCAGTGGTGCCATTCTCAACTCACTGCAACCTCTACCTCCCAGGTTCAAGTGATTCTCATACCTGAGAGAATCAGAGTAGCTGGGATTACAAGTGTGCATCACAATGCCCTGCAAATTTTCTATTTTTAGTAGAGATAGGGTTTCACCATGATGGCCAGGCTGGTCTCGAACTCCTGGCCTCAAGTGATCTGCCCACCTTGGCCTCTCCAAAAGCTGGGATTACAAGTGTGAGCGGTGGCTCTGGCCTCTTTGCTCATTTTAAAATTAGGTTGTTTTGTTGTTGAATAGTAGCTCATATACATTCTCAATTTGCAAATATTTTCTCTATTCCATGAGTTGCTTTTTTACTGTTTATAGTGTTGTCAATGTACAAAAGTTTTTAATTTTGATGTGGTCCAACTTAACCGTTTTTACTTTTGTTGCCTATTGTTTTGGTGTCATATGCAGGAAACTTTACCAAATCCAATGTAAGGAAGCACCCTGAGTTCTCTTCTAAGAATTTTATAGTTTAGTCCTTACATTTAGGTCTTTTATCCATTTTGAGTTATTTTTGTACATGGTATTAGGTAAAGGCCCAATTCTTTCTCTTTTTTTTTTTTTTTTTTTTTTTGAGATGGAGTCTCACTCTGTTGCCCAGGCTAGAATGCAGTGGCACAATCTCGGCTCACTGTAACCTCCACCTCCTGGGTTCAAGCGATTCTCCTGCCTCAGCCTCCCACGTAGCTGAAATCATAGGCACCTGCCACCATGCCCAGCTGATTTTTGTATTTTTTTTTAGTAGAGACGAGGTTTCACCATGTTAGCCAGTGAAACCTCCTGACCTTGTGATCCGCCTGCCTCTGCCTCCCAAAGTGCTGGGATTACAGGCGTGAGCCACCGGCACCTGGCGCTCTCTCTCTCTCTCCCACACCCCCCTTTCTCTCTCTCTCTTTTACTCTCTCTCTTTTTCTTTCTTTTTTAGATGGAGTCTCACTCTGTTACCCATGCTAGAGGGCAGTGGTTCGATCTCAACTCACTGCAACCTCCACCTCCTGAGTTCAAGTAATTTATCTACCCTCAGCCTCCTAAGGAGCTGGGATTACAGGCACCCGCCACCACACCCACCTAATTTTTGTATTTTTAGTAGAGACAAAATTTCACCATGTTGGCCAGGCTGAGTATTTGGAGAAATACTGACCTCAGGTGTTCTACCCACCTTGGCCTCTCAAAGTGCTGGGGTTACAGGCAAGAGCCAATGTGCCTGGCCTAATTTTTGTATTTTTAGTAGAGATGGGGTTTCATCATGTCGGCCAGGCTGGTCTCAAAACCATGACCTCAAGTGATCCATCCACCTCGGCGTCCCAAAGTGCTGGGATTATAGGCATGACCCACCGTGCTTGGCCAGAAATTTTCTTTTTTCTTTGAGATGGAGTCTCACTTTGTTGCCCAGGCTAGAGTGCAGTGGCATGATCTTGGCTCACTGAAACCTTCACCTCCCGGGTTCAAGCAATTTTCGTGCCTCAGTCTTCCTAGTAGCTGGGATAACAGGTGCCTACCACCAAGCCTGACTAGTGTGTGTGTGTGTGTGTGTGTGTGTGTGTGTGTGTGTCTTTTTTTTTTTTGAAACAGAGTTTCCCTCTTGTTGCCCAGGCTGGAGTACAATGGCACGATCTTGGCTCACCACAACCTCTGCCTACCAGGTTCAAGCAATTCTCCTGCCTCAGCACCCCTAGTAGCTAGGATTACAGGCATGCACCACCATGTCTGTATAATTGTTTTTTTTTTGAGACGGTTTCGCTCTTGTTGCCCAGCCTGGAATGCAATGGTGAGATCTCGGCTGACTGTAACCTCTGCCCTCCAGGTTCCAGTGATTCTCCTGCCTCAGCCTCTTGTTGGGATTACAGGCGCCCACCACCATGCCTGTATAATTTTTTGTATTTTTAGTAGAGATTGGGTTTTCACCATGTTTTACCATGTTGGCCAGGCTGGTCTTGAACTCCTGACCTCAGGTGATCTACCCACTTTGGCCTCCCAAAGTGCTGGGATTACAGGCATGAACTACCATGCCCTTTACATCTGGCTAATTTTGTATTTTTAGTAGAGATGGGGTTTCTCCATGTTGGTCAGGCTGGTCTCACACTCCCAACCTCAGGTGATCTGCCTGCCTCGGCCTCCTAAAATGCTAGGATTACAGGCGTGACCCACCATGCCTATCCCATATTACCGTGTTCTTATCCATGTTATTGTACTTCCCATACAGTATTTTAAGTATTTGTGTACGCCTCTCTCCTCCTGATTTCTCTTGTTCAGTGCCTATAGTCTGGCAAATAGCAAGCAATCAATAATTGCTTATTTAATGACTAAATAATGGATAGGAAGGAAGAAGAGAAAGAGGAGAAAAGATTATATATGGTTTTACTCCTGGAAGTTACAAGAACTAAACTGTCAGTTCCCGGCTTCTAACCTTCAGAAAAATTGCCAACTCCAGCTAAACTCCACTAAACAATATCTTGTATTGTAACAGACAAGAGAAAAAAAACAAGAAAAAGTAGAAAGGAAAGAAAAATACAGACATTGTGGTAGACAAATAATGCTCCCCCCACACCGACAAAAGACGTCCACATTCTAATCCTAGAACCTATGAATGTTACCTAACGTGGCAAAGAGGACTTTGCAGATGTGATTGATTTAGAATCAGAGTAGCTGGGATTACAAGTGTGCATCACCATGCCCTGCAAATTTTCTATTTTTAGTAGAGATAGGGTTTCACCATGATGGCAGGAGAGAGTATCCTGCATCATGTAGGTAGGACTAATGGAAACACAAGAGCCTTATAAAAGAAAGAAGGAGGCAGCAGAGTCAGAAAAGGAGAAGAGACCAGGGAAGCAGAGGTCGGAACAATGCAATCAGTGGCTGGGGGCCACAATCCAAGGAATGCAAGCAGCTTAGAAGCTGGAAATTTAGGAAAATAGATTGGTCCCTAGAGCCTTTAAAAGGAATGCAACTGACACCTAATTTTAGACCAGTGAAACTCATTTTGGATTTCTGAACTCCAGAACGAAAAGATAAATTTGTGTTGTTTTAAGCCAATAACTTTGTGTAGTTTATTACAGAAGCAATAGGAAAATAAACATAGATGTACATATGATGAAATATAATATCTATAGCTGCCTTGAAATATGAACATAAATTTCCACTCAGAATATACCAGAATTAACTGTTTTTGATCAGTATGTTACAATATTCACACAGAGAGCCATATACAAATGAATAAAATTATTACCTGAATATAAGGTAATCTCTGGGATAATATGGTAATCTTTTTTCTTTCTACACCACTGATCTGATTGATTACAATAATACAGTAATCTTTTAAAAATGTATTTGAATAGGTCCTGCACTAGGGCTCATGCCTGTAATCCCAGCACTTTGGGAGGCTGAGGTGTGCAGATCACTAGAGGTCAGGAGTTCGAGACCAGCTTGGCCAACATGGTGAAACCCTGTCTCTACTAAAAATACAAAAAAATTAGCCAGGTGTGGTGGTGGGCCCTATAATCCCAGCTCCTTGGGAGGCTAAGGCAGGAGAATTGCTTGAATCTGAGAGGTGGAGGTTGCAGTGAGCTGAGATTATGCCACTACACTCCAGCCTGGGTGACAGAATAAGACTCTATCTCAAAACAAAAAAAAAGAAAAAAAATGGATATGAATAATCAAAATAGTGGCAGCTTTCCAAAAAGCCTGTTTTTATGGGAGTCATCAGGAAGGACGTATGTCAAATGTAAAAGGGATTTTTTTTCCTTTTTTTTTTTTACTTTTAGAGACAGGGTCTCGCTATGTTGCCCAGGCTGGAGTGCATCGGCTATTCACAGGCATGATCCCACTACTGGTCAGCACGGGAGTTATGACCTGCTCCGTTTCCAACATGGGCCAGTTCACCCCACCTTAGGCAACCTGGTGGTCCCCTGCTCCCAGAAGGTCACCGTATTGCTGCCGAACTTAGTGCAGACACCCATTGGCATAGCACAACACAGCTCAGAACTCCTGGACTCAAGTGATCTTCCGCCTCAGCCTCCCAAGTAGCTGGGACTATAGGCACGTGCTACCGCACCCGGCCGTAAAGGGATTTTTAAAGGAATTTATTTTAATAAGCATTCCAAAAGGTGTAATTTTTTTTCCATTTTTGTGACATTAAATAAAAAAGTAAAATTAGAGCCTCAATGACTTACTTGTTTCCCTACTTTTTAACTATGGAGGCCCTGTCTACCTCGTCTACTTATTCAGAATATCCTTCTCCAACAACACACACACAGACACAACATCTAGAGAATGAGGTAACTGCTTTTTTTGTTCAAAGACAGGGTCTCACTTTGTTGCCTAGACTGGAATGCAGTGGCACAATCATAGCTCACTGCAGCCTTGAACTCCTAGGCTGGAGGGATCCTCCTGCCTCAGCCTTCTGGGTAGTTCGGACTACAGGTGCTTGCCAGTACACCGGGCTATTGTTTTTTGTTTGTTTGTTTTTTGTAGAGACAAAAACTCACTTTGTTGCCCAGGCTGGTCTTGAACTTCTGGCTTCAAGTGATCATCCCACCTCAGCCTCCCCAAAGGGCTGGGATTACAGGCATGAGCCACCATACTCATCCTGTGATAACTACTAATGTCTTCATACCTGATAAAGCTCATGGTCAGAGTTCAAACAACTTACTTTCCTTTATCCTTCAACCATTCTGGGTTCTTTTCTTCTTCTTTTAAATCGCAAAATTCAGGTATGTCAGTATTCATTGCTCTTCGTGCCTCGGCTTGTTTGTGTAGCCACTAGAATGAGAAAGAAGTCTCTTGAAGAACACAAAGGTCTTATTTTTATTGTCATTTCCTTTTAGATATTTCATTTTCCTCCAATGGATGGAAATATTTGTTATGCACTGAATGTTTGTGTATTCCCCACCTCTCCTCCAAATTCATATATTGAAGCCTTAGCCGTCAGTATGAATCAGTATTTAAAAGTGGGGCCTCTGAGAGGTAGTTAGGTTGAGGTCATGAGAGGAGAGCCCCCAAAATGAGTTTAGCATCCTTATAAGAAGAAAAAGAGATCAGATCTCCTCACCCACCATGTGGGCATAGTGAAAAATGGTTGCCTGCAAGTTATGATGGGACCCTACCAAGAACCATGCTGGCACCCTGATCTTGGATTTCTCAGCCTCCAGAACTATGAGAAATGAATGTTTGTTGTTTAAGCCACCCAGTCTATAGTACTTTGTTTATAGCAGCCAGAGTAGATTAACATACTATTTGATGATAGGTTTTTTTTGTTTTGTTTTTTTGTTTTTTTCCCCAAGACGGAGTCTCCCTCTGTTACCCAGGCTGGAGTGTAGTAGCATGGTCTTGGCTCACTGCAACCTCCACCTCCCAGATTCAAGTGATTCTCCTGCCTCAGCCTCCTGAGTAGCTGGAATTACAGGCATGTGCCATCATGCCCAGCTAATTTTTGTATTTTTAGTAGAGACGGGGTTTCACTATGTTGGCCAAACTGGTCTCGAACTCCTGACCTTGTGATCTGCCTGTCTTGGCTTCCCAATGTGCTGGGATTACAGGCATGAGCCACTGCGCCCAGCCCATGTGGTTATTATTTTAACTTTCTTGGCTATAGTATTTTTATTTTTCTATACTGAAAAATATACAGGGAGATCACTTGAGCCCAAGAGTTTAAGGCTGCAGTGAGCCATGATTGCACCACTGTACTCCAGTCTGGGCAGCAGAGCAAGACCCCAACTCTAAAGAAAAAAAAAAGGTGTGTTTGGTGTGTGTACACATACACACACAATTTTTAAATGATTATAATTGTATAATTATAGAAATGAGAAAAATACATTGTTTAATAACATGAAATAATTAGTATTTATATTGTCATTGTGTCTTAAGGATCCTGTTATTTCTACAATTTTTCAACTGAAAGATGTATCTATTCAGCCTTGCAGTAAAAAAATGCAGTTCTTGGTCAAGTGCAGTGGCTCATGCCTGTGATCCCAGCATTTTGGGAGGCCGAGGCAGGTGAACTGCCTGAGGTCAGGAGTTCGGGACCAGCCTGACCAACATGGTGAAACCCCATCTCTACTAAAAATACAAAAAATCAGCCAGGTGGGGTGGCGGCTCATGCCAGTAATTCCAGCTACTAGGGAGACTGAGGCAGGAGAATCACTTGAACCTGGGAGACATAGGTTGCAGTGAGCTGAGATTTCGCCACTGCAGTCCAGCCTGGGCAACAGAGTAAGACTTTGTCTCAAAAAAAAAAATGCAGTCCTCTTTTTGGGGGGGGACAGAGTCTTTGCTCTTGTTGCCCAGGCTGGAGTGCAATGGTGCAATCTCAGCTCACTGCAACCTCCACCTCCTAAATTCATTCTCCTGTTTCAGCCTCCCAAGTAGCTGGGATTACAGGCATTCACCACCATGTCTGGCTAATTTTTTTGAATTTTTAGTCAAGATGGGGTTTCAAAATGTTGGTCAGGCCAGTCTCAACTCTTGACCTCAGGCAATCCTCCCACCTCAGCCTCCCAAAGTGCTAGGAGTACAGGTATGAGCTACTGCACCTGGCCAAAAAAATGCAGCTCTTAAGCTGACATAACTAAAGATACAATATTCGAAATCTAGGGCTAGGAATTTATAAATGGATGAAAGATATTAATTCTAAAATGTCACATTAGAAATACCTGTTATTGGTAATAATTAGCTGTAATAATATATTAATAAATTCCAAATATCTTCCTTCCAAAATACATACTGATCCAGAGTTTATAAATCTATCAATATTATAGAAAATGATGTATTTGGCCGGGCGCAGTGGTGCGTGCCTGTAGTCCCAGCTACTCAGGAGGCTGAGGTGGGAGGATCGCTTGAGCCCAAGAGTTCTGGGCTGTAGTGAGCTATGCCGATCGGGTGTCTGCACTAAGTTCAGCATCAATATGATGCCCTCCCAGGAGCGGGAGACCACCAGGATGCCTAAGGAGGGGTGAACTGGCCCAGGTCAGAAACGGAGCAGGTCAAAACTCCTGTGCTGATCAGTAGTGGGATTACGCAAGTGATCCACCCACCTTGGCCTCCCAAAGTGCTAAGATTACAGGCTTGAGCCACTGTACCTGGCCTACTGTACATATATTAAATCAGTGTTCTCTTATCACTATTCTGGAGCCAAAAAATACCTGCAAAATATATTTTCTCATAAGGAAATTCCAAAATACATTCATGATGTTATATTTTTAGTATAATAAATACGTAAGAAATTCAGTTTTCTGATTGATGTGGGGATGTCACGCTCTCCCGGGCCACGACCCATCCGCATTGGGCGAGGGACAGACACTCATGGCGATTAAACAAAAAAAAAAAAAAAAAAAATTCAGAACCAGTACTAGTTTCCATAGATGAAATAAAAACAAAGCATTTTAATTTGTGGTAGTTGTAACTACGGTAAGTATATCTACCTCCTCCTCTTCTGCTACTTGTGATTCACGAAGAGCTGTTGGGAATACTCGAGGGGTAAAGTTGATTTTAATAGTGCCAACAGAGCGAGGAGCAGGAATACTGTCTTCCTTTAACTTCTCAGTAAATATATTTTCTGAATTTCTCCCTTCAGAAACAATGGTAGCAAGTCAGTCACTTATTTCTCGTTGTTTAGTTAAGAATCAACTGACATTTAAAGTAATTACACATCAAAGCTAACCGCCAAATCCCAAACAAATAAATCAAAGATATTTTCTTCAAGAAAAAATGCAAAATTTAGCACTGAAAACATGGCAACTAATGACCTACCTGTTCTTTATCAATGGTCCCAGCTACTTTTCTGGGGTTCTCTTTTTAAAACCACAGTACTTAATTCACATCAACTCCAAGGGAGGATACTCTAGGTAACTACATCAACTCGAGAGAAGGGAATATAGGCAAAACCAGCACTGCCAATGCCACCTCTACCTCCTTAAACTCTATAACAATAGCTCCTATATACTTTTTCTCCTATATACTTTCTTATGATAGCGTAAAAGGTTTTAGCCAGCAAAGAGAACTAATGAGAACCGGCAAGGATGGGCGCAGTGACTCACATCTGTACTCACAGCACTTTGGGAGGACAAGGCGGGCCGATCACCTGAGGTCAGGAGTTTAACACCAGCCTGGCCAACATGGTGAAACTACGTCTCTACCAAAAACTACAAAAATTAGCCAGGCCTGGTGGTGCACACCTGTAATCCCAGCTACTCAGGAGGCTGAGGCAGGAGACTCTCTTGAACCTGGGAGGTGGAGATTGCAGTGAGCCAAGATGGTGCCACTACACTCTACTAGCCTGGGCAACAGAGTGAGACTGCGTCTCAAACAAACAAACAAAACCGAGTCAAGGGTCTTGACTAGACATTTCAAAGGAGTGGGGCAAGGAGGAAAAAAGGTCTCATAGGCTCAAAGATGAAGGCCAAATAATGTGATAAAAGAGGTGATCCCACCAGCCAGGATGGCCTTATGGAACACGGTCATTGAGCACTGTTGTATAACAAAGTATTACATTAAAGAGAACTAAATTTTTATCTTTATTTGGTCTGTACACTTGGATCTTTATTTTACAATGCTGAGCTTGAACCTACCTAAGGTCCCAATAATTTTATATCTGAGTATATTGTTGTTCACTCATGATGGCAAAAGCCAACACTACCTAGTCATCTTTTCTAAACACATTACTCAAGGAAATGTTCCAGAACATGGAGAAATAACATTAAGAACCCAGGAGTGGGGAACTTGAAGGTTTCATGAAGGAACATGAAAAAGAATGGTTTTCTAAAGCAGTGGAGAACACACTAAAAATATTATCCCATCTCAGCCTCTCAAGTACTGAGACTACAGGTGCACACCACCATACCTGGCTAATTTTTGGTTTGTATGCTTGTTTTTTGTAGAAATGGGATCTTATTTTGTTGCCTAGGATGGTCTTGAACTCCTGGTCTCAAGCAGTCCTTCTATGTTGGCCTCTCAAAGTGCTGAGATTATAGGTGTGAGCCACAACACCCAGGCTGTAAAGAATATTTTTAAATGGTAAGGCAAAAGAAGGAAAATAGAGCCAGGCACTCATGCCTGTAATCCCAGCACTTTTGGAGGCTAAGGTGGGCGGATCACTTGAGATCAGGAGTTTGAGATCAGCTTGGCCAATATGGTGAAACCTCATCTCTACCAAAATACAAAAAATTAGTCAGGTGCAGTGGCGGTTGCCTGTAGTCCCAGCTACTTGGGAGGCTGAGGCAGGAGAATTGTTTGAATCCATGGAGGTGAAGGTTGCAGTGAGCCGAGATCGTGCTACTGCACTCCAGCCTGGGTGACAGAGTGCAATTCCGTCTCACACACACACACACACACACACACACACACACAAAGAATAAAAAGAAAAAATGAAGTATACTTCATTTAACTTCAGATTACTAACGATTCATATGATGTAGAACATGCAGGAAATCATCGCTATTAGCCATGAGGAGAACTAACAAAAACTATTTTGCTACAGAAAAATAAACATCTTTATGGGTTTATGAAAAATATTAAAGTGACCACTACTTACAGTAAAAATAAGATATATAATTTTCAAACTCACATATCTAATTTACATACTCTTCTATTAAACATAAAAAAGAAATCTGCTGTTTACAGCAACACAGGTTAAAACTTTTACTAAGTTTTACATGCAATTTTATGAACAGGTAAAATGCTATGAACACATAAAAATTCTTGATAAAAAATAAATAAATGAAAGGTTCAATATATAGTTCAGTTTCAAAAGTAAGCAAAGGCCTCATTACCAAACTTGAAGGCTGGGTCATCTCAAAAGCTGACGCAAGCTGTTTGGAAAGACTTTACATGGAAATAGATTAATATCAAAGGCAGGAGACTGGAAATGTAATGCTGGTAAAGGTACAGAGGTAGGGAGGTGGAAATGAAACCAGAATCATAGAAGGGCAGCACTTTTAGTGAAAAGGATGCTATAAGATCTCTGCTCACTAGTCTTAGAAAGTAAAGTTTGGAAAAAATGTCTCTAGAGAGAAATTGAAGTTCCAGGTATTCCTCATAAGCAAGTCTTTTGCAAATAAGAATACATGATATTTCCTCACACACACACACACACACAAAGAAGTTTTTGCTGAAGATCAGGCAAAAAAGCACAATTCACAAGAGGCCAGGCCTGGTGGCACACACTGGTAATCCCAGCTACTCAGGAGGCTGAGGCAGGAGACTCCTTGAACCTGGGAGGCAGAGGTTGCAGTATAAGGAAAAATCAGACACAACAAATAAGACGACTAGCTTCCCAAGATTTTGAAATAGCACAACAATCTGAAAGAGACTAATCATTTTAAATGTATTTACTTGAAGATAGCAAAGATAGGCTAATATCCATAATGAAAACTAAGAAGCTAGTGACAACGAACAAAGAGGTGTGAAAAAAAACCCAGAACTTTTAAAATGAAAAATGTTGTCAATGAAACTAAAAATATCTTGGACAAGTTTAACATAATATTAGTCATGGTTGAAGAAAATTTATAAACTAGAAGATAGATCTGAGGATATTATACAGAACATAGATGAGGAAGATAAAGAGAATATAAGAAAGCTGGCCAGGTGCAATGCCTCAAGCCTGTAATCCCAGCATTTTGGGAGAGCAAGACAGGTGGATTGCTTGAGGTCAGGAGTTCAAGACCAGTGTGGTCATTATGGCGAAACCCAGTGTCTACTAAAAATACAAAAATTAGCCTGGTGTTGTGGTGCACACCTGTAGTCCCAGCTACTAAGGCAGGTAAGGCAGGAGAATCACTTGAACCCACAAGGCAGCTGTTGCAATAAACTGAGATTGCGCCACTGCACTCCAGCCTGAATGACAGAGCAAGACTCCATCTCAAAAAAAGAAGAAAAACATTTGTGTAATTTAAAAATACATACTGAAATAAAGAGAATATAAGAAGGTAATATTCTTTTGTTTTTGTTTTTGAGACAGTCTCACTCTGTCACCCAGGCTGAAGTGCAGTGGAGCAATCTTGGCTCACTACAGCCTCTGCCTCCCGGGTTTGAGCAATTCTCATGCCTCAGTCTTCCAAGTAGCTGGGATTACAGCCGTGTGCCACCATAGCCAGCTAATTTTTGTATTTTTTAGTAGAGGCAGAGTTTCACCAGGTTGGCCAGGCTGGTTTCAAACTCCTGTTCTCAGGTGATCTGTCCACCTTGGCCTCCCAAAATGCTGGGATTACAGGCATGAGCCACTGCACCCAACCAAGAAGGTAGTATTTGAAGACAATAGCTTTGAACTTCCTAGAACTCATGAACGACAAAGTTCTTTGTGTAAAAGAACTTTGCTCCAAGTTATGAAATTATGAGCTAAATAAATATAAAATTGAACTTAGATTAAAGAACCCATAATATACCAAGGGGAAGAATTTTAAAACAAGCAGAGACAAAGGATAGTTTACTTTATTAAGGATCAAGTTAGATCCGCTGCACTCCATCCTGGGTGACAGGGTGAGACCCTGTCTCAAAAAAAAAAGAATATTAGACATTAATAAATGATGTAATTATAGATAGAGATAAGCAAATAAAAACTTTATGGCAATAAATTTGAAAAGATGAAACACACAATTTAGAAGACAAATTACCAAAACTGACTTTGGAAAATCTCAATAATCACTATTATAGAAATGAAATCTATTTTTTTTTAAATCTCTAGACCTAGACAATTTTAGACAGAGTTTTACTAAACTTTAAAAAAACAGATATTTCTCATATCTAACCATATTGTTTCAAATAGTAGAAAAAGAAAAATGCTCAATAATGTATGGGTCTGGTATAATTTGGTGTAAGGAAAAATATGACTGAATCTCAATATGAAGATAAATGTGACAATTGCTTATAAAATATTAGCAAATTTAAAAAATGCATATATATTCAATCTAAATGACATTATTATTATTATTACTGAGATAGCATCTTGCTCTGTCGCCCTGGAGTGTAGTGGCAAAATCTTGACAGCTCACTGCAGCCTCCACCTTCTGGGTTGAAGAGATTCTCCTGCCTCAGCCTCCTGAGTAGCTGGGATTACAGGTGCATGCAACCATACCCAGCTAAGTTTGTATTTTTTTTTTTTAATTAAAAAAATTTTTTTTGCTTTTTGAGACAGAGTCTCACTCTGTCCCAGGCTGGAGTGCAGTGGCATGATCTTGGCTCACTGCAACTTCTGCCTCCTGGGTTCAAATGAGTCTCCTGCCTCAGCCTCCTGAGTATCTAGGACTACAAGCACACAACACCATAGCCAGCTAGTTTTTGTTTATTTGTTTTGTATTTTAGTAGCGACAGGGTTTCACCAAATTGGCCAGGATGGTCTCAATCCTGAGCTCAGGCAATATGCCTGCCTCGGCCTCCCAAAGTGTTGGGATTATAGGCGTGAGCCACTGCTCCCAGCCAGTTTTGTATTTTTAGTACAGATGGGGTTTCGCCATGTTGCCCAGGCTGGTCTGGAACTCCTGACATCAGGTGATCTGCCCACCTCGACCTCCCAAAGTGCTGGGATTACAGGTGTGAGCCACTGTGCCCAACCTTTAAATGACTTTTCAACATGCC